GCACGCACGAGCGCGCATGCAAGCTGACATGCGCACGCTTGGCGCACCTTTGAGTTGAGTGTGTGGTGTGCCATGTGCAGCAGGTGCTCCAGGCCCTCGTGGTGGCCCCGCCACACCTGGACGCGGCGGCGGGGGTGCATTCGTGTGGGGTAAGGCAAACAACGGCCAACCAACACTATGCTGAACAGCCAACCGTACCAGCCAACCATTTGTATTGCGCATCAGCCACAACGCATCGGCGCAGGGATGTGAAGGATGTCACCGGACGTATCTGCAGCACAGCCCTCGTGACTGCTCCACTGAAGCAGGCTGGACGCCACCCAAGCCTGTTTACAAGACAGCAGCGCCGACAGCACACCCGCAGCCCCCCCTCCCGCCATGGCCAATGCCGGCATTGGCCGGGCCCTGCTGCCCGCAATTACTGCCCAACCACACACACACGCCCACACACATCACCATGTGCACCCCTCTAAAGATCCACCACGCCTCTTCAGAACCCTGACGACACTCCCACCCCCCCACCATGTCTGTGCAGTACTCTGGGAACACCACAGAGTAGACCGCAGTCACCAGCACCGCCGCCACAGCCAGCGCTGCCGTCACCACTACCGCCAGCATCTGGGCCAGAGCCGGGGTCATCAGGAAGTTGCATATGCAGACAGACTGCGCAGCGAGATTGTGTGCAAGGTGGGTGGGAGTGGATGAGTATGAGCGATTGGACGTCGCAGCTCGACTTTAAATGTTGGGCGAGGCGCACGTTGTGCCAGTGTCCAGGCAACCCCGAGACAGCAGCAGCTGTCCACAGCTGCTGCCGGCTGTTGGTGTTGGAGGTGCGCCACAGCGGTGCGCGGCTGCGAGCCACCCCTGCGGCCTGCCCAGCGCCTATCCGCTTCCAGCTCGCGCACTCACATAGAGTGATAGCCAGACACCCGTGATGGCGCGGGGCTGCGGTTGAGCGTTGCGAAGAGAACGGCATGGCGGAGAAGAGGGTCAGGGGCAATCAACACATAACAAGCGAAGCCAGGGGCGTTGACGCGTCTATGCAAGAGCCTCAGTAGTGAGGTGGTGCGAGCAATAGGCAGCATGTGAGCGCCATGTATGCTGTGCCCTCCCCATTCTGCGCCGCCCGCTGCCTTGTCACGCGGCGCACCAGGCCTATCAGCTCTCCGCCGCCAAACATGATGAGGGTTGCCACAATGATGCTGATCTGGAGTGGGGCGGAGGGTTAAGGCCGCGGCTACGCCTGGGCACAGGTGGAGACAGCGCCATGACGCGGAGGTGCCAGGCCGTCATGGGCCCTCCAGTCGCTGGCCCTGCCGCCGCACACTGCCGAGCCAAGGCACCCCAGCCTGCAGGGGTGACCGCTCCTGTGGGCTGTCCGCCGAGGCGATCAGGGCTGCCCGCGGCTAACGTGCGGCGTCGCCCGGGCCCCATCAGGCGTGTCTGTCCTGCACAGCACCGTCCCCTGCCCCTCAAACCCCTCCCCTGTTCCGTCCCCGCCTGCCTGCAGGAAGTAAACGTTGTGGTACGCCCTGAAGAGGCCAAACGCAATCCATATCCCGCTGTAGCACACTGCGGGCGCCGCATGCGAACAATGCGCAGGCTGGCGTCAGCGTGCTGGCTCACCCGCGCGCCCCTCTTCCGCACGCACCACACACGGCGTTGCCGCATCCCGCATGGCACGCTCTGCCGCGAATCGCCGGCAAACTCCGGCTGCTCCGCTCCATCCCCTGGCCCGCACCCAGTGCCCGACCAAGCGCCCCGGCAGCGCCCCGCCGCAGCAGGCTCGCACGATGGCGCGTGACTCAGGCACCACTCCGCGATGCCATTGAGCTGGCTGGCCGCCGCGCAGTCCACCGCCGCTGTAGGCGGGGCGTCTCACCGGGCAGCGCCACTGTGAAGGTGAGGACGAGCTGCCCGACCTGCGGCACCCACATGGGCAGCGCCACTATGCCCAGCAGCATGAAGAGCATCGAGTACTTGGCGCTGGCGCCCTTGGAGACCTCAAACCGCGGGTCGCGGAGGGCGAGGGCCGGCAGGGAGAGCAGCAGCACCATCACGGCCTGGGGG